TTATGTGGATTTTATCTGCTCCTTCTACTGTCGAGCTGTTTGGATCAATGGATACTGTGGTGGAATGATTTATATAATATCACCTATCCATATGTATCCAGCTTACTTTTGAGTAACACCATTCTCACTGAGATGGTAATGATTACAGAGGGGAAGGCTTGAAGGAAAGAGGACTAGAAGGGAATAATTTTAAGGAAGGACGATAATAAGCAGATTGACCAATCAATACTTCTTTACTACTTCTAGGCTTGATAATTATCTAGGGTGGAGGGTACTACTTAAATGGAAATTGTTACTTACGTGTATTTTTAATAATATGTTTACTTATCTATATATTCAACAAATATGTATTTGAAAAATAAAATTAAATGCAGAAATTCACACCTCTTAATTTTGAAACTGGGCGACTCCATCTTTGCTTCCTCTCAGTCATTGTTACAAGCTCTGTTCTTTGTACCTGACAGTCAGTATAGAGAACGTATACAGTGAAAAGAATAAAGTAAACCAATGTTTCTATTTTTCCTCTTGTTTGTCCCTGACTTTGCCTTGTTCAGGGGCCTCAGAACAAAATAAATTCTGGCAAAAAAAAAAACTAAAATAAAAAAGCAGAACACCTTCCTACCACCCCTATCTTAAGCTAAGCTGTCCTAATAGTTATGATGTACAGGCCAGAAAGTATAAGTAATTCTTCACGGAATGCTTATAACAAGAATGCATCATTTGCTTTATATGGGATTCTCTTAGTAAAATATGGGCTTTTCCATAGACTTTGATGGAGCAATTTCCATTCAGTAATTAAAGTAAGCCCGTAGTAAGATAATTCAGCTCCTAGTATCATTGTAGGGAGACCAGTTTTTGTAAAAAAAAAAAAAGTACACTTGGTCCTGTGACTTTGCTTGATATTCCATGTTCTGGGACCATGCTAAGAAATTTGACCCTGATTTCTCCAACACAGTTTAGGTAATGGAGTTACTTATTCACAAATGTGCAAATTTTTGTTGATGAACTTAAGTGACACTTAACAATAGTCCTTTTAACTTTCCTGCTTTCTCTGTTGGGAAAAGATTTCCAAAAGCTGTTCCTATATGCCTCTTTTTCTGTTCTCCTTTGCTATATATACCCATTTGCAGCTATAATAATTGGTGCCATTGCCTTTTTAGCAGTTTTAGCAGTTTTTATGACTGAAGTCCTTGCAAAGTTTGAATTTATTTCCTTCTTTGGCATTCTGTTATTTGCTGTGGAACTCACATATCATTTAAATAGTTATCAGATTTTTTTTACATTTAGATATTCTGCTAATTGCCAATCGGCCTATTGTAATTTATCTTTGTAACTGCATTTGTTCTTGTGACTTAATTTACTTTTACTTTAGAGTTTAATTCCTTTTCCTTGGAGTGTTTCTAGAATTTTGTGTGCCTGCTGTTACTTTATATCCTTTTTGGAAACATTAGGTTTATTAGCTCAGTGTAGGCTTCACACCTGATTCCATTGCACTCTTGCCGTATTGTTTAATCAAATACATAACATTATTTTAAAATACATACTTATTATACCTAGAATTTTATTATTGCTTGAATACGTTTTAAAATATATCTCGCTGCACGTTTTACAGCTAAACTTTCTTTGATGGCTCCAGTAGGTAATTTGTGTAAAAATAAAATAATGCAGATGAATGTTTTGTCTCTATAGAGTTATCTAATGAGAGGATCACCTTGACATTTCAAAGGGACATTTCAAAGGTATAATGGAAACTTAGCTTAATAAAGAGAAATTGGTCTCAAAGTATTATTCCCATTTCTCTTGATCTGCCTGTAATCATATTTAATTCCAGGTATGTTCAATGAAAATTTTCTTGTCCTGGGAACTTTGGACACAAGTAATTACTGGATATATTATTCTGTGAAGGATTTTGCTGACATCCTTGTTTCTATCCCAAGTGCAATGCAGAAACAGCTTCTTCTGACAGCGATATATCCTTCTAATGTTAGAACAATCAAACTATGAAAAATAAATTAGAGTCTTTACAGTGGACGTAGAACAGCAGAATGAAATGAAACCCCAAATAGTCTACGTATGCTTTTTTTTTTTATTATTATTTTGTATTATAGTAGCCTTGATGATATATCTATATGTATATTTAAATAGAATATAAGCTATGACAGAATATAACCTATAGATTAGCAGTATGAAGTGTGCCATTTCCTCTGTGATAGTATGCCTATAGGGGGCATACCATACAAAGTTGAAATGAATAGTAGAAATAGATATGTATGGAATGGGAGGTTGGGGCTTTGAATTGACTGGTCCAAACGCCAGGTAGGACAGCTGGGAATTGCCATTTATAGGAGAAACAGTTGACTCTCATAGATCGAGGTTAACAAAAATGTAGTCAATATTTAGCAGTTACTGCAAAAAAACATAGTCAAAATGTAGTGGTTATTAGCCATCAGTACTCTGCTGTTACTGTATTAGTTTTTAGATATAACCATTTTTTATGCACTGTAACCCAGTAACAAAGGTGTAGAAAGTCAGGTACCTGAGTGAAATGTCATTGCCACATAATTTGCAAATCTTATATTTCAAAGCTTGTCCATAGGATGTTTGGAGATAACCTGAATTAATGACAAGAAGAGCCTTTATACCCTTGTTTGACTGTCTTCAGTTCAGAGTTAATTGAAGTCTTCCTACTTTTCACTCCTTACTTATAGTTTGGATAGTATTCTTTAAATTACATTTTACACGACAAGGTTAATATTATTTCAAAATCTTGACTTTATATGGGGTTCAGTATTTTGGTCAGTAAAATGCTTCAATTACTTTTTTGAAATCATGCATGTGACCCAGAAAATCCTTCATGTAACATCACATCATGAAATATCCATCAAGTTGCTTCATAAGGAGCATTCTAAAACATGATTCATGTTGGACTCCAATGGTCCCCAAGCAGAGCAGGACTGGGAAAATTAATTGGCTCAGACCTTTCTTAATTACAGCAGCCCAGTGGGAAGGTAGTGAGCCACTAGGGGGTGTTGTGTCATAACAAGTGAAAAGCACCCACCCAAAGTGTGCATGTCAGTTCAATGCTCTTCCCGGGCAGCCCATGCACAGAACTCTGCTGGAGAGCTCTTGCATGAGAAAAGTTTTGTTCTGTGCAGAACAAGCAAATTTAATGACACACATGTGCTATGTTTTTTTGTGACTTGTCCCTGTTGGCTCTATCAGTGGAGATACCAAAGGACAGAAGGGCCAGGAAAGAGTATTGTGCATGTGTTTGCAGGCTGTTTCTGGAATTGTCTTTGTGGTGTAATAAATGTGGCTAGGGGCTGTAGAGAGTGTTTGTATATGTGTTGTAGTGTGTGCATTTGGGGCATAGTGTATGTGTAGGGGATGCAGCGAGTGTGTGCATAGGAGCTGTAATGTATTTGTGTATTGGTGATGTAGTATGTGTAAGAACTGTATAGAGTTTATGCTTTGGGAATGTGTTGTTTGCTTTTGCATACACGGAATCTAGTGGGTGCATAGGGGATCCAGAGTGTGTATAGGGCTTGAAGTGTGTATGTCAGGAAATTAGTGTGTGTGTAGGTGGTGCAATCAGGGCCGGCCTTAGAGGTGTTGGAGCTGTGCCGCGGCACAGGGCGCCATGGCAAAAGGAGCCTTGGTGGCTAACACAGATCACACAAAGGGTCCATGATAGTGTGGGCAGGAGGAGGCTTAGAACTCTAGCAGGAAGGCAGGGGAAGGCAGAAGCATCTTGTGTTTGAAATAGCGGAGCCTGCAGCACACAATCTCATGGTCACTGAATCTGGCGAGGAAGAGTTTCATAATCATAATTATTATGGTGGGCAGAGCCAATTGGTCAGTGGGGGGCAGAGCTAACTGTGGCTGGAACCCGCTGCCCTGAGGATCTGTGTGTGACTGTGTGTCAGTCACTATGTGCCTTGAACTGTGTGCATGTGGCTGTATTTGACAGCATGTGTGTATAGCTGTGTCCATCCGATTGAGTGTCTGACTGTGACACTGCAAAATTACACACCTGCAGTCACGCATTTTTTATTAATCTGAATTAAATTACAAATATCACACACAGTCAATTCACCCATAACAGATATGGAGGCGGAGGTACAGACCAATTTTCCAACACGTTGGACCACCAGAGATCAGCATGCCTCCTTCCCTGCAAGGTAACAACAGGGGAAGGGGGAATGATTTTATTTTTTAATAATAATTAAAGGGACAATAAAGTCACCAGAACAACTATGGCTTATTGAATTTGTTCTGGTGAGTAGAATCATTACCTTCAGGCTTTTTGCTGTAAGCACTGCTTTTTCAGAGAAAATGCATTACATTACAGCCTAGTGATAACTTCACTGGCCACTCCTCAGATGGGTGTTAGAGATCCTTCCTGGGTCATGGCTGCCTAAAATGCATCCAAACATTCAGTATCTCCTCCCTCTTCATGCAGACACTGAACTTTCCTCATAGAGATTCAACTGATTCAATTCATCTCTATGAGGAGATGCTGATTGACCAGGGCTGTGTTTGAATTGTGCTGGCTCTGCCCCTGATCTGCCTCTTTGTCAGTCCCTGCCAATCCTATGGGGAAGCATTGAATCAGGTCACCACTTCTGATGATGCTTGACAAAGGCCCTAAGGGGTCAAAATGTTGCCTTTTGGTTCCTTGTTCCAATAAAAATTGCCTAAATTTTGCAATATGCTGGAGTTCCTGGATTATTCTTTATATTTAACCACTTCTGATGATGTCAGAGGTCAGAGGAAGTTCACAGGCAGAGGCAGCAGCTTCAGATTTGAATACAAGTAAGATTGTACTATATTTAGGGAGGCAAAGGGGGCCAAGGGGGCTAGATAGTGGTTTTAACACTATAGGGTCAGGAATACATGTTTGTGTTTCTGACCCTATAGTCAGTGGTGTATCCTGGTTTTGTGCTGCCCTAGGCAGGACAAAACTCAGGCGCCCCCCCCCCACCCAACCCTTCCCCCGCCCCACCTTCTAAATACACACACACACAGTCAGACACAAAAACACACACACACAGTCAGACACATACACACACACACACAGTCAGACACATACACACACACACAGTCAGACACATACACACACACACACAGTCAGACACATACACACACACACACACAGTCAGACACATACACACACACACACAGTCAGACACATACACAGACACAGTCAGACACACACACACACACAGACACAAACACACACAGACACACACAGTCACATACACAGACACACACAGTCAGACACACACACACACACAGACACACACAGTCACACACACACACACAGTCAGACACATACACAGACACACACAGTCAGACACACACACACACACACACACACACACACACACACACACACACACACACACACACACACACACACACACACTCACACACAAACACACACACAAACACACACAGTCACATACACACACAGTCAGACACATACACAGACACAAACACAGTCACACACACACTCACAAACACAAACACACATTAACTTTTTTTTTAATTTAAATCCCCCCCCAACCTCCTTACCTTTGGGAGTGCTGGGGGGGGTGGGGGTCTCTCTCCCTGGTGGTCCAGTGGCTGCAGGGCGGGCGGCTGGCGAGGGAGCTCTTCCTATGAGCTGTCTGCTCAGCTCCCTCGCGCGCCGGCTGCAGAGTGAGGCTGGGAGCCGGAAGATGACGTCATCTTCCGGCTCCCAGCCTCACTTTGCGGTGCGCGAGGGAGCTGAGCAGACAGCTCATAGGAAGAGCTCCCTCGCCAGCCGCCCGCCTGCCAGCGCCGCCCGCTCGGGATGTCAGTTAGCCGCGAGGCTAACTAGGCATTTGCTCTGGGCATTTGGGGGGCGGCGTTTTTTGCCGCCCCCTGAAAAATGCCGCCCAAGGCAAATGCCTTGTTTGCCTCGCGGCTAATACGTCCCTGCCTATAGTGCTGCTTTAAGTTAATAAAGCCCCAATACAAACATACACTTCTATACATACTACATATAGATGAGCAGATGTTACCAGGGAGGGGGCTGTGAATATTTTACACATAAGGGCCTTGGGTGCAGTGTGTTTCTAAAAGGGATCTAGTGTGTGTAGGGGATCAGAGTGTGTATAGGGGACGTAGTGTGTGTGTGTGTGTGTGTGTGTGTGTGCACAAGGGCTTTAGTGTCTATAGGAGATGTAGTGTGTCCAGGGATGCAGTGTGAGAAGGGATGCAGTGTTTGTAAGGAGTGAAGTGTATGTAGTGGTGCAGAGTTTGTGAAGGGTGCAATGGGTGTGAGGGGTCCTGTGTGTGTAGGGGTGCAGTGGGTGGGTGACATTTGGTCTATATTGTGTGGGGAAGGATGAGATGGGAGCAAATGTATGTATTTTTTATTTTAAAAAAAAATATTTTAAATCCCTTTTTCTTACCTATTGCCAGTGAGATAGAACATTGCAAGCCTGGTGATCTGGTGGTGAGTGAACTTTAGCCTGCAGCTTCTTTGGCTGCATGCTGAGTTCAATCCTCTCACAAGTTTAAAGGATCTCTCCGTCAGCCTCAGCCCATGGACATCGCGGCTCAATGGGCATTTGCTCATTGTGGTCAAAGAACCAGTCCAGGCGTATCCTACTGCAACATTGCTGATACAGGATATTAAAATAGTTTTTGATATTATTCTTAAAATCATATTGTTCAGGACCGGTTATGGCCTTATTTAGCAAATAATTGGTGCATATGTTAAACATAAAAAATAATGTGTATCTACCGACAACTGCATGGACTTCACTCGGGCTACAATTATATTCTCCAATCAGAACTACTGTTCCACTGCTGGGATGGAGAATAAAACGAAGGACAAATGTGTAGAAAAAAAATTGTAAAAAGAGGCAATGGATAAGAATATTTGACAATCAAAGTTATATAATTCTTTAGAAATATTAAAGGACCACTATAGTGCCAGGAAAACATACTCGACTCCCTCCCGCCCGGCTCTGGAAGGGGGAAAGGGGTTTAAACTTACCTTTTTCCAGCGCTGGGTGGGGAGCTCTCCTCCTGCTCTCCTCCTCCGTTCCGCCCCGTCGGCTGAATGCGCATGCGCGGCAAAAGCTGCACGCGCATTCAGCCGGTCGCATAGGAAAGCATTTACAATGCTTTCCTATGGACGCTGGCGTGCTCTCACTGTGATTTTCACAGTGAGAATCACGCAAGCGCCTCTAGCGGCTGTCAATGAGACAGCCACTAGAGGCTTTGGGGGAAGGCTTAACCCATTCATAATTATAGCAGTTTCTCTGAAACTGCTATGTTTATTAAAAAATGGGTTAACCCTAGCTGGACCTGGCACCCAGACCACTTCATTAAGCTGAAGTGGTCTGGTTGCCTAGAGTCGTCCTTTAAGTAAGGTTGTTAATGATTTATTGCTGTACAGGCCAACATTTTTGAATCACCAAAGACTTTTCTTTTGGAAAATGTTGACCTGTACCACAATGAGTGAAAAGATCCGACAGTGCTACAGTTCCTTTTGGATAAGATGTGTACAGCCTCTTCGTATTTGCACCTTTAGCAACACACGCATGCATGCACGAATGTACGCATGAATGCCCACACGCAGGAATGAAGGCAAGCACGTGCACATATCTATATATTCAGTATTCAGTCTTTTTTGTTCTTTCTTTACCTGATTATTCTGTTTTTTATTAAAAAAAAATGTCACTTTACTCCTGGCATATTCCACACAATTTTGAAGTTTTGCAGCATGTTAAAGTGTACATTTCTCGCACGGTATTTGCATATGCCTATAAATAATGTAAAACAATAAAAAGATTTTACAAAAAAAAATCCAAAATGATTGTGGAATATAAAACCAGTTTGTAATATTTTGCTTAAATAAACCCTACAGATTTGCCTTTATGATTCCATTTGGTGTTTAACAAAAATCTGCTGCAGTTTCACAGCCAAGAAAATCACAATATAGATTCCCCGCAGTGAAACATACTAACTGCATGATGTCTTATATTTTAGTATTTAGTGATATTTTATGACACGTTTCTCGTAGTAGAAAGAAGAATAAAATGAGATCCTGTAACAAATACCTAGAATAATGGTTGGAGGGGAAGGTGTGGGGTGAGATCAGGGTTAAGCAGAATATTTGAAATGTGGGCATGTTTTTGTGATTGAATTTGGGAGTCTTGCAAATTTAGATACAGGCTTTAAATATGTATAAAATAAATGGTTAAATAAAAAAAAATATCAAGCATTAACCTCTTAAGGATTAATTATTTTGTTTGCTTTCTCTGAAATATGGTATATATAACCTTGGGCCAGCTTAAAATATCTTTATTACCCATCATTAGAAGTTCTGTAGAACCCTGCTTTTGGTATATATGACACAAAATGTCACTGAACCTTAAAGAGTTAACCTTAAAGAGTTCCCCTTAATACAAGCTCTCATCCCAAACATTTAAAACTTACTCCCACCTTCCTGTCCTTTCCATCCTACTGCTCCTGGCAGCTGGTGATGTCTCTCCAAACCCTGGTCCGTCCTCTAATAAGCCACCTGGTGCTAACACCAGAAACCATAAGAATCTCATATCCATTCCATGTAACTCTCACTATAATTCCTCCTTTAAAGCTGCCCTCTGGAATGCATGCTCTGTGTGCAGCACTGTTAAATCAACTTCCATCCATGACCTATTTATCTCACACTCCCTAAACCTACTTGCACTAATGGAAACATGGCTCTCTCCCTCTGATACTGCTACCCCTGCCTCACTATCCTTTGGTGGTCTTCACTTTACCCACAACCCAAGACAAGCTGAGAGTAAAGGTGGTGGTGTAGGATTTCTGCCTTCACCCTACTGCTCCTTTAAAACTCTGCCCAGCCCCCCTTCTCTTTCTTTCCCATCATTTGAAATTCATTCAATTCACCTTTTCAAACCCTTCTCTACGAACATTGCCGTTGTTTATCTTACCCCTGGAACCCCTCTCCTCTACCTTGACCACTTTTCTGCCTAGCTACCCTACTTACTCTCTTCTAATATTCCATCCCTTATTCTCAGGGACTTCAATATTCCCATTAACCCACATTTGACCTCAGCAGCCTCTAAACTACTTTCAATTACTTCCTCCATCAGGCTATCGCAGTGGGCTAATTCTCCCACCCATGTAGCTGGCAATACCCTCAACCTAATTTTCTATGATGCATGCAACACTCCATTTCCTCTCTCTGATCACCACCTCTTATCGTTTGCTTTGAGTACCCTCTAACTCAACAACCTCAGCCTAACCCCTCTCAACTCAATAGGAACCTTAATTCTATCGACCTCCAGCAGCTCTCAGCTGATATTGATTCACAACTGCTATCCAACCCTTCCCTCTCCTGTTCCTCACTGGCCATCTCCACATATACCACTACCCACATCTCGGCCTTGAATGCTGCAGCCCCCTTCCAAACATGCACCTCGAGGAGGACACACCCCCAACCGCGGCATACTAAATCAACACGTTACCTGCAAATTTGCTCCCATTGTGCTGAACACTCCTGGAGGAACCCAGTCAGACTTTCTCCAATTATAGATTCATATTGTGTTCATAGAGCGCTGCCCTTGCCCTCACCAAACAGTCATACTTTTCCTTTCTCATTAGTTCATGCTCCTGCAATCCCAGGCATCTCTTTGGCACCTTTAACTCTCTTCTTTGCCCTGCTGTGGCCACCCCTCAAACTAACCTTACAGCTGATAGCTTTGCATGCTACTTTACCGACAGGATTGAACAGCTAAGGAAAGAACTTGCCCCACCAGGGGCGTACCTAGAGCATTTGGCATCCGGGGCGGATCCTGTAAAAAATGTTAAAGGTTTTCTTTCTTTTTTTTTTTTTACAATTTGTAAACTTTGCAAAACCGCTGTCAGCCCCTCCTACAAAACCCTTGTCCTGCCCCGCCCCTCCTACAAAACCTCTGTCCTGCCCCTTCTACAAATCCTGTACTGCCCCGTCTACAAAACCCCCGCAACCCCCTTCCACAAATCCCCTGCTTATCCCCCCTTATAAAGACTCCTGTCCCAATACAAAACCCCCACCCCCTTCTACAAAATCCCTGCAGCCCCACACACACATTTACAGGCAGACAGTCACACACTCAGTTACAGACAGACAGTCACACACTCAGTTAAAGGCAGACTGTCACACACAGTTACAG